GTGGAGTAGGTCTCGAAGTTTGGAACTGGGTTTCCATACCCATGTGCATGCCTCTCTGGATGTCAGTTCTGATTTCGAAAACAGCAGTTTGTCGCATCTAAGTCTCGAAATAAACGGTTTTGGGTTTCGGGGACCAGTCCTGCACGGGATCGAAAAATAACGGAGGGCAATCTATTAGCATCGCTAACTTGGTTCATGTGTTCAGGTGTTTTTGAGGGGGTCGTTGAACAGGTTCCAGCCATTGCGATACTTTTTGGGAATCCTGCGTTTAGTCTGCATCGACCACACAATTTAGAGTGACTCATGACTTGAGTTCGTCTGTCTACTTTCTGTATTCCAACCCAATCGCCTCTGTTGGAGTAGTGATGTTCAGGACTGTCCTCATTGCCATGGCGGTCGTTACCGAACTGCAACCTTCGTCTCAACGCTCATCTTCCTTCATCTACTGAAGCCAGATTCTGTGGAGTGCATTCCAATTGCATCAGTTCCACGTATTTATCTGTAGTCTTTAAAAAGGCCTTACTGAATTCTGTAAAATCTACATCTGGACTGTCTCTCACATCGATGGTGTTCATCTTTAATGTATCTGTCCAGCATCTTAGAAGTCGGGTTAGCAAGTCTGACTCCCCTAATATACTCCGGATTTGATTGCTATGCCTATTCCACAATTATTCTCGTGAGCTTTCATAAAAAGGAAGTCAGAAAGATCATCCCCTAGTTGAACAATCCTTGTCAACCACCCGTGAATTTCAGTTATACACAATGCAGTTTTCATGTCTGTACGGACAGACGAACTCTCTCTCTTTTCCAGTTAATCGAATGGAGGCCCCACCTCACATCGTAGTAGATATGCCTTTCCCTTCGTTACTCGTGAGCTTTCATAAAAAGGAAGTCAGAAAGATCATCCCCTAGTTGAACAATCCTTGTCAACCACCCGTGAATTTCAGTTATACACAATGCAGTTTTCATGTCTGTACGGACAGACGAACTCTCTCTCTCTTTCCAGTTATCGAATGGAGGCCCCACCTCACATCGTAGTAGATATGCCTTTCCCTTCGTTAGATCGAATTCTACCTCAGGTTACGTGATATGAATCTATGCTGCTGATGTTGCACGCTGTTTTAAGCCTCCACCGTTTGCCAAGCAGAAGAATGTCTTCTCAGAGGTAGATCCAAGTATACATAAACACAGTCCTTAGAAGGGGCTCTAGTCTGCCACATCTCGCTTACCAGAATGGTGGTCTACCTATTCAGTCACGGCGAACACTGCCCTGCATTACGCGTGCCCACTTGAGTCTCACAATAATTTACCACGTTGTTGTCTGATGGATCTACAGCTGATATCTGTCAATGAGATCCCCTCATGTACTTCACAACGGACGTTGCTATCGCTCAAACATACAAAGGATACTAGTTTTAAATAGATGTAACAGAGACGGGAATTTGGGAGATCTTAAATAGGAGGAAAAAGGTGCAGCGGTGCATTGTGGAACTCAAGTGCAGATATACGACTGGGCAGCATCTGCGGCAGCTCAGCTAGTGCAGCAGTCTCTGGGTAACCAGTAGGTCTTGGGCGGAAGCTCCGTTCATGCACTGAACTCTTCTCAGTGGTTTGAAACATTATTACAGCAGATAATTCGCAATAGTAGTAACAATAATGATAATATTCAGCTGCCACATCCTTCCGGTGCCTAACTGCCATGCCACCCGTAGGAAGCATGAAGATTAAAATGCCGGTGCCTAACTGCCATGCAACCCGTAGGAAGCATGAAGATTAAAATACTGTCAGGCTGCTGGAGCATAGACAGGAGCAGTCGATATGCTGGGGTCGGGTTCGAACCACGCACCTTCCGGTCAGTAAGTTCGGGTCATCATCGTTGGGCTTTCTCGAGCTCAGTAATTTGCAACAACATACTGGCTTTAGTTCATAGATTAATGAAACTGCAAAATAGCATCCCATATTGGGGCTTCTCTCCTCTGGTGACGTGACACTATCTCCTGCCTCCTACGACATGCGTTGCAGCTTCACATCTGAAGAGTGGACATGGAGAGTGAGACGTATCCATCCCTATTTTGTTGTGATGACATGAAGACCGAAATCGCGCCATACGGACGTGACAATCCAAATGTTTTTTTTATATTTTGCATCTGGACTTGTCTTCCCACGTTTCAAACACATAAAGGAAGCATTCAAAAGCATAGTGAGGGAAAATTGGTGGTGGGTTTCCAAGATGTGCAGTGCTGTATACTGTATTCAATGAGGGTTCTTGGCTTCACTTGACTAGTTATACTTATGTAAGTAGTATTGTGTGATGAAAATAAAAATGATTACAATGATTTGCACTACACAGAAGAAGAGAACGAATACAACCCTCCAAAAGGCCTCCCGGATTGCAATTTATGGCATTGCATGCCTTCTCGTGAAGATGCATCTAAAGTTTTTGCAGGTTTCAAAAGCATTCCTATCGATGACCGATGTTGTCGTTTATTCATAGTGGTGAAGAGGGTTTTATATGTTTCCATGGGGACATCAATCAGATCCTTGAGTCACAACGTCCAGACCTTATAGGGATCCTATTCCCCGGACATCCCCTACAGTTATTTTGCTGGTTTCCCATCGTTAGAATTCCTTCCATCGCGAGGTCTTATTTCAAATGCTGTCTCTAACCGCAATCCATTATAAGGTTTTGCGAATTCGCGGTATGCTAGGGACATCTGTGAATACTGGGAGACGCCATCTGCGAATGACAATACAGTACGAGGTTGGTGTACTATTTTTGACTTGACAGTGTAGAATTAACCGCAATCCCGTACCACCTGAATACTTGGCAAGCTGAGTATCGCTCGTTAGCGCTGCACGTCCATGTTGTCTGACGCGCCGTGCGCTCTTGACATTTGACCATCTGGTTCCTGGACACCCTATTTATTGAACTACATGGGATTCACGCAAACCCAGTCACGTGAAAAGTAGCTTTCTGTTAGTTCTGGATCATGGGAAAACCTTCACCAAGTGAGGGTTCAAATAGCTCGTATGTGTACTGTCTCACTTCCGACTGTACTGGCGTCCCCAGTTATTTTGTGTTAATTCCTTCATGCGCGTTTCTGATTCTCTTATTTCATTTTTTCAGGATGCTACAAACATGAATTCGGGGACTCGGTCGCGGTCTGACTTGTACGTTCCTTCACTGAAGCATGTAAATATATCCATTAACACGCTTATTCTTTACGTTGTTTGCTCAGCAACGGGATAGTCCCCTTATATTAGCGTCGATTGAATTGGACTGTCACGAGTTACGCGCTCGGATGTTGTACAACGGGTTTTCAGTTACGATCGGATGGCTTGATTCGCACGTATTTACTGTTCGGCAGTCGCGCTTTCAGTAATTTTTCCAGTATATATACACTACGGCAACCTGCGGCTACTTCTGCTAAACGGTTCATTGACTGTCCCGCAACTTTGTTTGTAGAAACCTTCTTCAGAAGGGTAATATATTATCTTTGGGGAGATGAAGCGAAGTGGCGCCGGAGAATGGTGTAGAGTTTCGCCCATCATTCCGGTTGAGTAATCAACGTGGTCATTCCGCTCCACAGAGCGACAGGTTGAAGTAACGGTTGTTGTGTTGTGCAATGCCCTTACTTTTGAAACTTTTTTCATTTGAATCCT